TAAATATAGTAGTATTTAGCCCTTACTCTATTTAATTTTATAATAAGATATTACGTTAAGAAGAGTAATCCTATAGATAGACCCTCTCGGCGCTAGCTACTAAGTAATTATAAGATTAATCTAATCTCGCTATTAAACCGCCGAATAGCTAGCGAATTATAGACGACTAATTACTATTCTATTATAGTCTAGTCGCTAACTATAAATATACTTACTTTAAATATCCTATACTTTAAAGAGAATAAAGATAAAAACAAATCGATTAATATAATCGATTAGAGGGAGCTTAGACGTATATATTATCTCTTTAATATATAGGTCGGGCTAGTTTACGCTTTCGAGTAAATATATCTTACTAAGATAGATATAGACTTTAAGAAGCTTATTAAGTAATTTTAAGACGAAGACCTAGAGACTTAGCGCCGAAAGACCGCTATAAAGTCGTTAACTTTAAGGTTAAAAGGCTAGAGTATTAGGCCTAAGGGCCTTTTATAATTTAAGAAATATATTTATATCCTTATAAAGAGTAATTTAAGAACTAAACTATTAAGTATTTATTATAATAATCTCTTAGCCGGCTTATTTTAGGTATATAAGAATACTTAAGCTAATAAAAAGGAAATACTACTAGCTAAACCTCTATCTAAATATTATCGAATATATAAAGAATTATTAGATCTACTAAGGTATTATAGTAAGAATATATAAGCTATATAAAGAGCTCTAATTATTACTAATCTCTTTATAATCCTTTATAGAAATTTTAATAGATTTTATAATAGGCCTATTACTAGTAATATTTAAGAATAGATTAGTTAACGCGATTCTTATTATTATTAATAGGTTTATAAAATAGTCGCTATTCCTCTCTATTTTATTAATAATTATTATTAGAGACCTCGCTAAACTATTCTATAATTATATTAAACTATACTTTAGACCTTTTAAAAATATTATATCTAACTATAAATTACTATTTATAAGTAAATTCTAGTTAAAACTATACTATCTATTATAAATATATCTTAGGCTTTTAATAGCGTTTTATCTATAAACTAATAGGTAAATAGAATATATAAACTAAACCCTTAAATATTATCTCTAGTATTTTATAGATAATAAGTAAGTCTTATAGGCTTCTTTACTAAGATCTACTAAATTTATATATAATAATACTATTAATATAATAATTAATATATCTTTATTTTAGGCTTTATTAGGATATTTACCTAATTTCTAATAATATTTCGAGAGCGAAACTCTTTATAGAGAGGTCCTAATAGTATTTATATAAATTAAAAAATTAGAAAACTTCTATTAGAAACTATAAGAATACTAGCGAAAGATAAATAAAACTATAGTAAAATATTATAATAAAGATTATATTCTAATATAATTTTAAAAAAAAGATCTTATTAGCCTATTAATAAAAAATCTTAGATTAAAAAGAAGTAGAAAATTAGTACCTTACTTTATTAGCTCTTTTCGCGTTTTATAAGCTATCGGAAAATAAGCTTATTATCTAAATTTATCTTAGTAATATAATTAAATCTATAATATCTTCTATATAACTCTTTTCGAATTATAGAGAAAACTATCTAAAAAGGATAATAAATCTTTACTAATACCTAATTTAGAAAATAAAAAGGAATATAAAATTAAAGAAATATATAATAAAAAATAAATTAAAAATAAAAAATACTTTTTTATTAAATAAAAAGAATAGTCTTTAGAATATAACTAATAGATTCCTTAAAGAGATATAAAAAATATAACTAAAATAATATACTCTTACTAGAAATAGAAAAAAAAGAAAAAACCCTTAATTATTATAAAGAGATAGTAAAACTACCCTAAAAGATAAAAGAAATCTAGCTAATAAGTAAGAAAGGAGATATTAAAATAATAATATAATAAAAATATCTAAAAATATAACTAGGCCTACTTTTAAATCTTTTTTAAAAAAATAAAGAAATCTATTATAGTCCGCTCCTCTATTTTATTATCCTTAATAGAAGTATTATTATCTATATTAAAGTCTAGGGTATCTTAAGCCTCGCGAATCTCTACCGAAATACCTTTATAAAATATCCGCTTTACTAGGGTCTATAGAATATATCCTTTATCTCTAGATAAAAGATATATAAGTCCCTTTAAAAAATAGGCTACTCTCTACTTCTAAATATTAAAGAAATTAGAAGCGATAATAGAAAGGAGCGTAGATCGATAGCTTATAAGAAATATATTATAATTAGTATAGGTTTACTACTAAAACTATAGTTAGAGAACGCCGAAAACCTTATTTAAAACTATCTTATTATATATTTTAACCTAGGCTTTATTACTAGTTAATCTATACTTCTTATAATAAGCTTACTCCGAGGCGTCGAAGGACTTATAGAGCTCTATTATCTTCTTAGCGACTATTTAATAAGTCTCTATAGAAAATAGCTATTTTAGCTCGCTATTATCATTTTTAGTACTATTAATATTAACCTAGTTTAGCTAGAATATTTTATAAGCCTATATTAATATATTACTTAGGTCCTAATAGTCCCTAAGTATTATAGTCGTAGCCTAAGAATTATTAGCCGCTATCTTTATATATAAAACTTAGCGAAATCTATAGGAATATATATCGAAGCGTAACTAGAATACTACTTATATATAATAGAAGCTTTAGCGTCTATTATATAGTTAATCTTAAAAGGGCGAGTCTAGTCCTCTTTCTACTTAGCGATTATAATATATAAATAATATATATACTAAAGGATTCTAATACAAATTAGGGCCTCTAAAAAAGGGTAGATATTATATATAGGGTTTTATCGAGGTATTATAATATTTCTAGTACCTCGAAACTAAAGAAGAGCTAATAAAATAATAATTCTAATAAAGAGAAAAGGAGGGAAGTAAGATATAAAAAATAGAAGTAAAATAAAGAGAGGCTATAGGATTATAATAAAAGGACGCGTCCCTTATTCTTATAGGCGAGATCTTACTTTATTTACTTATCTTATACTCTTTAATAAAATAGGCTATTAATAAACGAAAGTCTATCGATCTTTTTAATTAAACTAACTACTTATTAATTCTTCTCTTTAAAAAGATAGTAGTAGTTCTTAGTAAAGTAGTCTTCTATTCTATAGTAAAAGTATTAGGTTCTATTAATATACTAGAGAATCTTTTCGTATTATTCTTCCGCCTATTTATTAATAGATTTATCTTTAAATAGGGCGTACTTATATCTCTTCCTCTTTGTCAGCATAATAGTATTATATAATATATATATAGGATATATATTATGGTATATATATGTTATTATGATGGGAAAGGAGCCTATATATATTTTACCGGTACTATCTAAGTGATCCTTAGATATACGATATATGGTAAACTATATTATGACTCACTATCATCTGCCATATATAGTGAGGTCATATTATGATATTTGCCATATATAGTGAAGTCATATTATAACATTATGAGATATTATATTATCTCATGATTGCCTCCTAACTAGCTATATAAGGAATCGAAATTCCTTGCTTAGCTAGTATGTTATAATAATAATATAAGCATAACAACAATCAACTTGACTTCTACCTCTTATATTAATTCCTATTCTAGCTAAGTATAACCCTTTATATCTTATATAATATAATTATATAAGCTATAAAGATTACCTAATACCACTTCCCTACTAAAATATTATAACCTAATTATAGGCTATAATATTATATCTGCTAAAGTGCCAACACTCTTAGTATTTTTATTATCGTTTTTCTTATTAGATTAACTATTATTATAGCCTTTACTATAGCCTTTACTTTAATTTATACCTCGACTATATATTAATTTTACTAAGTTAGTAGTCGAAGAACTTACTAGAATATTATATACTTTAATAATTAGCTTCTTATAAATATTATTAAGAATATCCTTTATAACTTTTGTTAAAAGATACTCTATAAGTCAGGATAGGTACCTATTAATTAGGTAGGAGAAGGTAATAAGATAGGTAGTTCCTAGAAGTTAAAGACTATTTCTTAAAGAGCCGTTAGGCTTCCTCTATATAGTCTAATTTATATATAGTCTCCCTATATTAATAGCGGGAGGAAATATAATATATAGAGCGGGGTCTCGTTCCTACGGGGAACCCTTCTTAAAAGGATAGGGAAATATAGGCGATCCCCCTCCGAAGAGGTTAAACCTCCTATAGGCCTAAGGTACTAATCTAGGAATAGCCTTACGTCTAATTATATTATAATAAATTATCCCTTCTTTAAGAATCGCGTACCCTTACGCGGGGTAATAAATAATTAGGAGGAAGTATATAATAAGATAAATAATATAAAATAGATAGGAGTATTATTTGACACGGTGAGCGGGGGGCCGGAAACGGCTCTCATTGCACCGCCGTCCTGCCGCCCTCGACCGCCTGCCCGTCTCCGCCATCCTCTTGCCCCTTTGGGTTTGGCGCCCTCACCCGTGCTCCTGTTCGGGTTTAGTGCCGCCTCTGGCCGCTTTTGCCGCCCCCAACACCTGCCCTCCATCTATAAAACACCGCTCGTCCTCTTCGCAGCTCTGTCGACGCACTTTCTCTTCTTTTTCCTGTCCGACCCCTTTCTCTCGGCCCCCACCACCTTGTACGCACTGGCTCGCCACCTGTTGCATCGCCCCTTTCATTTCACCGGAGATGTCGCTCGATCCAGCGCCCGATCCACCGCTCAGCCGGTTCTAGCCAGCGTTGCCTACAACGCGGACCGGTCCCTTGCAAGTTGATGTTTCGAGGCCAGGAAGCCCTCGCCATCCTGTATGCTATGATACCAGTATTTCCGCCTACTTTGATTGTACTACTAGCTCTCGAGCTCTCGAGAACACATGTTGTTTGCGAGCCTTCCTCGCTGAGCGCCTCGCTCATTCTGCTGGCTTTTTGCTCGGCCGGAGAACAGTGTCTCGGAAATCCGCGACACGGATGCCCTAATTTGCCACATTCCATGCGAGGTTGCATCAAACAGCCTCCAGTGGTGAAGGCGCACCCTGGTCCGCTTGGTCGAGAGTGCCTCGTGGGAAAACTGTCGTCATACTCGGTTTCTCTTAGCCGTTGTTACCCAGTCGACGAGCCCTCGGACGACAATGCCGTTATACCGACCAATGGCGAAATTGCCGCATTCTTGTCCGGTCTCAATCGATGCCAAGTACTGCGTCACGAGGCCGACGATGGTCCATTCTACAGATGGCCCCTGACCACGCGCATACATGAGCGAATGGAGACTAGGCGGACAACCACTGTGGAACTGGGTTACAATGGGGCGCCACCGAGGTGTGCGGAAGCCTTTGCCGATCGCCTTCGGTCCCTTTTTGTGCAACCGGTGTGGCTCCACGCCTTGAGTGAAACGGCGCGGATTGAATGACGTGGACGAAAGTATTTGCACCGCTTCACTGGCAACCTTCCGCTATAAAAGAAATGACAATCCTCTTCGAATCGTTTAGTTGGACAGAAACCCATCAATCCCCCCTCTCCCTTCCCCTTGCACCTGCGTTGTATCCCATACCCCCATATCTGAGTGCCCCATTCTTATTCAGGTTCAAAAACTACATCTGGAGGACCCTTCTGGATACACCTTTCTCAACATGTCAAGCACCAATTTTCGCCTGGAATCGTTTCGTCCTTGGAATACTTTCCAAGACAAAGCTCAGCCATTGCGCGATCCCCCCGGTACTTCTCGCTACCCTAGTCCGATCTCAATCAGTACCACCCCGCCAAGCATTATCTCGGCGATACGGGCGACAGCACTCCCGACCCTTGTAACGACTAATGGCGCCGTGGGGCTAGAATCATCGTTGACTTCACGATCGATTGGTATAGAGGAATAGATAAAATGGCACGGAATAGGCCATACGGACTAGACATAGAGGGGTTGTATACCTTGCCTCTATGCTAGTCTAATCTTACGCGTTTCATCTTCCGTGTCCAGCCATATAATGACTGGCTAGTAGACTATCGTCAAAGGTGTAACTTTCGGTTAATTTCCCACTTTCCACCATAAGTATTTTTGAAACTCAAGCTTTGTTTATAAACGCAGCTGAAATTCACATCTTAGATTGGCTAGGCATCAACTCAGAGTGGATATCGAAAAATCCAATCCAATCTAACCCGTGACGTCCGGACTGCGCAGCTCCTTCGAGCCCAATTCGGTTGGCACTAGTTTATTGACATAGGTGTTATCGCTAAATTTTAGTCGATGCAGGGACCCAGGGCGCTATAATAGTAGTGTGTTTTTGAAACAAATACTAGAATCTTACGTTGTAGATCGTTACCTGAAGTAAACACACCAGAGGAAGCTTGAGACCTCTGGAGCGGGATCTAACGGAGGAGGGGCTTTATTTATTGGTGACTTACTACAAGGTCAAAGCTTTGCTGATTTAGCGGCGACTGCGTAGAATAGAACTACCTATTCGCTATTCCCATTAACAAACATATCGCTAACCTTTAATCCTTTCGTACGACAAATCGGTCTCCGAGAAACTCTTGATAAAAGCGTGTGATATTACCGTCCCCCAGGGCGAAGGCCTAAAGCTTCTGTGGACGAATGTATATCACTAAGACTGATTCATGTCTCCATGTGGCCGATGATAAGCTATCCACCTGGAGGAACAGTAGCTAGCAGTCCACTGTTCTCCATAGCCAAGCTCTGTCATCTAATAGTAAAACGTGAGATGAGCCATATAGTGTGAGGTGGAGATCACTAAAACTGATTTTGCCTTACCTTTTCACTAATTGTTTGCTATTTCACATTCAGCCAGTAAGCGTGGGCTTGAAACAATGCAGACATATCTTCGTCGGTATTCAGGCGTATACGCTTTTGGAGCCGAATATACCTCATCTGCAGAGCGGGAGCACGGTATCGCTTTCCGAAAACATTCTCAAAAGAAACACTGATCTCCCTCTATGTCTTGCTCCTCTCATTTCTCAGGGTGAGGAGGAGCTCGTCTTCGAGACTCAACTGGTGTTCTCTGGTTGTAGAGGTTTCAAACTCGGTATCATCGGAAGGGTCTAACCCCATATTCTGGGGGTAAGGGTTCGAACTATCGTATATCTGGTCCAAGACCCCATGTCCTATAGTGGGGTCTCTAGAGTTCATGACGGGTGTTTGGAGGTGTTCAGTCCATTCGTCGGCACTGAACCTGTTGGTGAATTGCTGGAAGTCTTGGAAGATGTTTGCCTCCGGACTAGCAGTCATGTTCATCGAGTAGTGCCCCCCATTTTCGTTTTCTAGTGGCATATCGAGAAGAGATTCGAAATCAGTTTGAAGTTTTCGTGGCTGCTGGTGATTTCGGAGACGTTAGTATTTATATCACAGATTTCGTTTACACCCATGATAAAGTGTTATTTATTATAAACAAACCACTCAACCACTTCATCTCTTTCTCCGCCCCACCCCATACTCACCATGTTCGCCTGTGAGGCAAATGACAGCACCTGAGACATATGGCTAGTTGGCTAGCTCTTTGCTAGCTCCCTCTTCTTTATCTTTTCCCTTCCACTCGTTCCCCCATCATTATAGGGATCAAGCCATGTTTTTGTCATATATGACTTGGTTTTATAGATATTTGAACAACAACATACCTAGTTACAATAGAATAATAAAGGAGCTAGATCTAGGAGCTCTTTTTGACTGTCGTATTATTATCCTAGTCGTAGTGCACCCCTGCATTGTTACAGCGCCAGGAATCTATACCCTGCTCAATGTCTCAACCCCTCATTGCAGTATTTGCGATGACCACCTATATGCTTCTAGTCGGACCATTTTGCGAGATTTTGTGGGAATTGGTAACATAAGGTCGTGGGAAGAGTCATTCGTGCTTGAATTGGGTTTTCTAGAGAAATGAAGAGAGGTAGTCATGTAAATGCTACAAGCGACTGAACCTTGATTATTGTGCACTAAGTAGCGTGAGTAATCATTCTTAGACATTCGACTAAAATTATACGGTCTTCAAACAACACACTCGGACTACCGGAGATTTCATATCCGGAGATATAGCCAAAAATGACTGCCTAACTTGTATAAATCTCCAGACAATTACTAGTCCCGTACTCCGTACATGGGTTATATTTAAGAAAAGGTTCACATGTATGGAGTATACCCACCCGCCTCTGAAACCTCCTGCGGGTGATCACATCTAGACCTCTGCATAGCCCATAAAGCCCAAAGCCCAACCCAACCCAACCCACTAATGGGTTGGGCTTTGGGCCCACCCTTCGAGCCCCTCGGCCGGCTATGGGCCCCCATAAGTAACCAAACAATACAAACATGCCAGTTTATTGCAGCTGTATAATTAATGCATTTTTTCCTAGTTGTTTTGGTATTAAAATTACTATTCGGTACTTAGTTTTGTTGGGGGTTTATATAGTAAGTAGAGGTACCATAAGTATTACTACAATCAAGTAGAGAAAGTGGTATCAATCCTCTGTAGATAATATATATATCTTCATACTGATACTCAGTGATTCTTCCTAGGTACGAATTCATGGCTAAATTGGATCTTGTTGGGGTTATTTTGTATGAAATCTGGCATCATGATACGAAAATCAGTATAATATCTCCTTAATTCCTACTTCTTACTATAATAATATAATAATATTGAAGATATAGGTTGGTACATGCGTAAAATACAGGCATTAATCATCTACTTTATGTATGCCAAGACTGTATTTGTGCACAGAAATGGGCTTTTGGTGGGCTTTGATGGGCCCATTGATGGGCTATGCAGAGGTCTAATCACATCCCCAACGCCTCGGGGGAGATACAACAATCGAGATTATAACGCGATTGGCTCGCGGTGAACGATCAGCGGCTATCAGCTGTAGGGGCCGTCACGCACTGAAATTTGGTGGTTCCCGCTTTTTTTCTCCAATCTCGCCCCCTGGTCGTATCCTTTTGCTATTACACAAAGCATACGAGAATAAAGAGTACTGCCGCCCTCCCTCAATGCAAAGGGCACCGTAAGGTGCTTACGTGGACAGCACGTCATATCTTTCCAATCCACACCATATAAGTGAGTAGAGGGCCGCTTCTTCTCCCCAGCTCTCCCTCATTTGAAAACATCCCATTCACCAAGGTTTCGCATAACGACCAACGAAGAGGAATGATGTCCACGATCCAGAACCGTGGAACCTCTCTGCTCGCGCAGCTAACATCTCCGCCGAATATATCTCTACAATTACTCGGAACGCATACGACGGACAAGCAGACTGAAGTCGTCGATTTTGATCTCTGGATTGATTGTTCAAAGAAAGCGAAAATCAAGTCTGGAGAATTCTTGACGGGCAACGAAAGTGATCATCGCTCTTGGGACCGGTCGAGTGAATCCAGTGACAGTTTCTCGAAAACATCATCTGGCTGGCTCCAAGATTGGCTTGCTAACAGCAACGAAGGAAGAAGGTACGATCACCAAATTAGTTATCTCTGGGCTAGTAACTAATATATATCAAGCTGGACGATCCGTAAACTCGTTAGTCTACGCGATGACGACTCCGCTGCTATAAAAGCTTATGCGGAGGGCCTCGCACTCAAAGTCGCGTATGGCGGATCTATCATTGTTAAAATTCATACACCACCTCTCGAGGCGGATGTTGCTGAAAACACCGCCGAGGTTCGAGCGGAATGGAGCTTTGGCTCACCATTCATTCCCACGGAACAAGCATGGGACCTGTTGGTAATGAATGCAATGGTCGACCGTAGAACAGGATTTATCTCTGTTGATGAGCCACGACCATCCCACGGAAGATCACCATTTCGTAGGGCCATGAAATCCAACAACACTTCTACGGTCGTATCACAGGTTCAAAATGAGGAGGGTTTCAAGCATACAGTACGACAATACTCGAAATGGGGATCTGATACTTAAAAAAATCACTATCCGCCTTCTCCTCACTTATAGGTTTTCTGTTGCTGCAATAGGGAGTCCCCCATTCAATTTTTCCACAATCTCTTCGTTCGTACCATGTGTTCTCGTAGTATATTTTATACTGATATGGCTGCGATATATCTCTGGGTTAGAACATCTTGTAGTTTTATTATCCAAGCATATATCTGCTACGAGGATTGTATTTCGACTGATCGAAGCTGCTAATACAATACACGTTGCGCCTTCTTCTGATTGCCCCAGGTGACATCGGCTTCTAGCTTAGATTTATTACAACAGAAATCCGCCAAGAGCATCAGATCTATCCCCGTATTCTTGTAGTGAATACTACGGAGGGGAAAAGCAGCGGAGGAATCGTTATTCATTAGAAACTAGAAATCCAGGGTTTGTATCCCCTGTCAAACAAAAGATCCATAAACAAAGAAACCTCTAAGCAAAGGCTCAGTCTGTCAAACAACAAACATGCAGTGTATGCGTGTATGGGAGGCACTCCAACACGTATACAAGTCCCCAATCAACAATTGTAAGGAGGCAGTTCATCTCCCGAGTGCTCAATGCCAATTTCATACAAATCATCCGAATCGTCATTTGCGTACCCAGCCTCTCCAGAACCAACACAATGGGTAATAATGGCACGGTGAACCCGAGCCCATACGTCTGTGTCCACTGCCACTTGGTGGCACTTGGCACAAACATAGCCCAAACAGCTCCCGTAAGTCGTTTCGTGACAATAACCTAGCTGCACTAGGACGGTAGATGCATAATTTTCAATCATATTTCCTAGTGTCCAACAGTCATCCCTCAAAGGGGGTCTCCCTGAATGCTGTATTTCGATTAGTACAGACTCCACTGCCGATCCTTAGGACTGGAATTGTCGTTCGTTACTAACCCCTGTGCAAGTGATTCCCATAGCTCGCTTTTCAAGACCATCCGTTTGAAGGTCTGGGTTCGATACAGGGTTTTTGGTCCTTGTATCACTGCCTCTAGGCCGCTCCACAATATCCCAAGTAAAACCTTCTGGGAGATCATGAATGTCTTCAGTCGTAGCGATCTGAGGACGGTTGGCGTCACGCGGGGAGGCTGGAATAGATGTAGCAACTCCAAGAGCAGCCAGGGTGCCAAGTAGGGTGAAGTTAAGTAGGACTTTCATTGTAATGTTTTCAATGATCTGAATTTGGGGCGAAGTGATTGTTTCTTTGTTTCTTTTCTTGAATAAGTATAACGAAGTTGGAAGCTATATACTTGCTACTAGTGCCTATGATTCAAATGATTTGTCCTGAGGTTATACTGCCTGTTATACTACCTGTTATACTGCCTGTTATACTGCCTGTTATACTGCCTGTTATACTGCCTGTTATACTGCCTGTTATACTGCCTGTTATACTGCCTGTTATACTGCCTGTTATACTGCCTGTTATACTGCCTGTTATACTGCCTGTTATACTGCCTGTTATACTGCCTGTTATACTGCCTGTTATACTGCCTGTTATACTGCCTGTTATACTGCCTGTTATACTATGTGTTATACTATGTGTTATAATTTTATTGGCAGTAGGATATAAGACTTCTTAAGAACTTCACATACGTGCTTCCCTAACGTCTCACATTCTGACTGACTTTTATCCTTAACCTGCACTCCAATCTTCCCACATTTGAATTGATATCAATATAAAAACGCGAATAATGCGTCTTACCCTTGAGATATTTGCCATACTCCTCCTCGGGGCTGGGCTTGTGGCTGCTTCTGACAAAAACGGATGCCACAACACGCAAGTCTTTTCTACTTATCCCCAAATTTGTATGGAAAACTAACGACGTAATAGAGCCGATCCCCATGAAGGCCTCCCTAAGAACATCTGCTCCTGCCCAGATGGTAAGGATGAGATTGCCATCATTTCAATCATTAAAAAGTCCCGTATGCTGTTCGTGATACTTACCCTTTCTTATAGGCAGCTGTTATAGCGATATAGATAATGGGGTTTGCGAGGATCTGAGTAAACAAGTTGCTTGTATCATTTGATGGGTTCACCTGGGCAGGACGCAACCTTGGAAAGTTCTGGGTCAATCAAAAAACCAAAGTATTGAACTAGGTTTAGGAATAACATACTAAGAATGTATGGATGGCTTCAGTTACCTATCATTTGCCGAAGCTGAATATAGGCCATCAATCCAATATCAAATCATTGTATATCTATACAATATCTACTGTTATATGAACGGATTAATAGCCTTTATAGGACCTATTATAATAAGTGTTGAATACCAAGGCCGAGTACACCCGACAATTCGGCTGTCATACAAAAGTGGATTGTTTTATTAAGTAAGCAATTACCGCATAGAAGCCATAAAAAGTAGATTTTATTAAATTAGAACGATAGAGAAAATATAATCTATTATTTACTATATATTGTTTATATACTAGATTTCTGTTAGTTATAAGCCCGGATTTGTTATAATAGATCATTAATAAGAAGATCTACTTAGACTACGACATCGCCCGTCTATAGGCACCTAGGAGGTGCCTATCACCCGTCCACGGTAGGCGGTGGGCTATTTGGATTTTCGAGTGCCTGTCTATAACGCCTACGGCCTATAGGTATACCTATTGCGGGTATACCTACTATGCCTATTATTATATAAATTCTCCTAAAATAGATATATAATTTGCTGACTTTGTATAATTTTGCTGAGCGAAGCGAAGCAAATAACAGAACAAATTTAAAGGAATATACTAGGCCTACTTCCAGCAATCTCAGATCTCAGATCCGGGCCTCTGATTGGTCGAAAAATTCATCCGTAACGTGACTAGGGTAGGGTTAGTCACGTGACTAAATCACGTGCTATACACCGATCTGCTCCGGATTAGGCAGTGATCACGTGAGTAGTATAGTATAGAGAGCCTTAGGCATCTATTTATATACTATATACCGATCTGCTCTAAATTAGGTGTTACGCACTAACTAACTGGTCACAGTTAGGTTAGATGGGTTCAGGGTATACTTGCCTTAATACTCCTCGAATGGTCCAACGTCAATGATCCGGTCTCAACTGAGCTAATGCCGTGTAAGGCCTTAGAGTAGCCTAAGTCCTTTTAAGCGATCAAGGAACTGATACCAGGTAGAGCGCCGAGTAGATCTATACCGGGGTATTGGTCTGCTCGTGAGTATTGTCGGGTTATAATCAAGTAAAGAGTCATAGTAATCCAAAAGGTAAACATAAGTAACAATGTATGATTGAAGACGAAGAACTAAACTAGATATATAAATGAGTGTCCTTATATATCCCTGAGTTCTTCCTATATAGAATGGTAGATGGTAGAATAGTAGAATCGCCTTAGTAGATTCTACTAATCTACTTACTACCCTTCTACTACCTATATAATCACGTGATACTAAGCAGCGGTTGTCTAGTACGTAGAGCAACCTATGTATCGGAAATCCTCTACGGGGTGGATCCGCTTAGGGCGGATCATGCTCTTGCTTAGTGAGCTTGTACGTGATCTGCTGACAGGTATCCTGGTTGGCTCTCGATGGCCCATTGGTGTGCCTGGTGGGTCACCACTGATTGGTGACGGACAGGTCCGTAACATTAGGCAGCTATTATATAAGTAGTATAGTATAGAGAGCCTTAGGTATCTATTTATATACTATATACTAAGCTAGCTACTAAACTATATACTAAACTATATACTAAGCTAGCTACTAAGCTAGCTACTAAACTGTATATGTATACTAAACTATATACTAAGCTAGCTACTAAGCTAGCTACTAAACTAGCTGCTAAACTATATACTAAGCTAGCTACTCAGCTAGCTACTCAGCTAGCTATTAAGCTAGCTGCTAAACTAGCTGCTAAACTATATACTAAGCTATCTGCTAAGCTAGCTACTAAACTGTATATGTATACTAAACTATATACTAAGCTAGCTACTAAGCTAGCTACTAAACTGTATATGTATACTAAACTATATACTAAGCTAGCTACTAAGCTAGCTACTAAACTAGCTGCTAAACTAGCTGCTAAACTATATACTAAGCTAGCTACTAAGCTAGCTACTAAACTGTATATGTATACTAAACTATATACTAAGCTAGCTACTAAGCTAGCTACTAAACTAGCTGCTAAACTAGCTGCTAAACTATATACTAAGCTAGCTGCTAAACTATATACTAAACTAGCTACTCAGCTAGCTACTCAGCTAGCTACTCAGCTAGCTATTAAGCTAGCTATTAAGCTAGATGCTAAACTAGCTGCTAAACTATATACTAAACTGTATACTAAACTAGCTGCTAAACTGCTGCTAAGCTAGCTGCTAAACTAGCTGCTAAACTAGCTGCTAAACTAGCTGCTAAACTAGCTGCTAAACTAGCTGCTAAACTAGGTGCTAAACTATATACTAAACTGTATACTAAACTATATACTAAGCTATCTGCTAAGCTAGCTACTAAACTGTATACTAAACTAGCTACTAAACTGCTGCTAAGCTAGCTACTAATCTAGCTACTAAACTAGCTGCTAAGCTAGCTGCTATATACTAAGCTAGCTGCTAAACTATATACTAACTAATCTAGCTATTTCCTTATCTTTAGGACTATTTCTTTAGTATATGAAAATAATGCCTACCCCTACCCCCCACCCCCTTAGGGGTGGGGGGTGGGGGGAGGCTGAATCACCTCTACCTCCTATAATCCCTTATACCCCGGTACAGCGGCGTAGCCGCTAGCCTAGCTTTAAGCTACCTATCCTACCTATAGGCCCTTTATTAGGCCTTCTTTAAAGTATACTATAATATATTTAGTAATTTATGACCTATTATAAAGTTAAATAAGGACTATATACTACTAATTTCAAACAATTAAACCTAGCTATATCCTCTGAAGGCCGGCTACAGGCCATACTAAGTCAAATACAGGCCGAATTTGCTTCTGCCTCGCTCAGCAAAACATTACCTGTATGCGCCTCCACCCCCAGTGGTCGCTTACAGGTTAGCTGGTAAATAACTGCTATTTATACCTATTTTGCTAACTCTATATAAAATCGTAGCTTTAATCTATAATATCTAAGTAAATAAAAAACTATAATATATATAATACGATTTAGAATATATTCCTTATTAAAATATACTATATTATATAATATTTTTATTAACTTAGTAAATTATATTATAATAGTTTAAAGATATATATTTAAGTTAGTAATATATATCTACTATTTTCTATAAGTAAAATACTACTTCTATCTTCTACTTTATTATTTATTTGGGTCTAATTCTTTCTAGTAGATTAAAAGAGTATTAGTATAATTATTATTTTATAAGCTTATATTATTAAATTCTATCTATTTTAGTATTAAAAGACTTATATTATTATTCTAAGAGTTTTAAATCCTTTAATTCTAACTTAAGATAGGTATTTAGGTATAGTCTTATAGATATATCTATAGATAAAGATCTTTATAGCTAATTAGCTTATAAAGAATAGTAAGTCTATACTTAATTTATAATATATTAGATCTATATAAAGCCCTCTTTTTACTAGTAATATCTATTTTATATAGTTATAAGTTATCTATTATAAATTAAAATTATATATTCTCTTTTAGTTATTTATACTATCTTTTATATTATATTAACTATATCTTAATCTAGTATCTATACTATAGGATCTTTTTCACTTTCTTTAAGCTCTTAACTAGATCTTTTCTATATTACTAATATCTTTAATTCTATCTTTAATCTAAATATTAATCTTAGTCTTTTTAATAGCTAATAGATCTCTATATTACTAATAAAGTCTAAGTTTACTTAATTAGCTTTTCTTAATTACTTATTTAAATATATTAGTCTTAATTAGAAAAAGTAATTTATTCTGTATAATATAATAAATAATATATCTAAAGTAAAGTTTATTAATGTAAGAATATACAGTCTTCAGGTATAAGGCCTATCAACCGGGTAAGATACAATGGTGGTAGGGAATGTCAAATGTATTGTCTCTTATATACCAAGACTAATTCTTACTAGAATTAAGGGGGAGCCGGGGGACCCTAGGATTATAAGAAAAACAGAGTGCTAAGGACTCGGCCTAATCATATAATAAAATATATATACTTCAGCTATATTATATATATAACTTAGCTAGTCTCCTATTC